TCATGTATTTGTTTTCAAAGTTGTTGGCATTGTTCCGATCACTTCAGCGATCAGTGCTCAATTTAGGTCAGGTTCCAGCCACACTCGACTTACTGTCAAATACTCTTGGCCGCCAGAGTGTTATCGCCTCACTCCTCCACATACTTGGGATGACGCTAAGTCAGCTTGCCAAAACATGGGAGGCAAGATGGCCGCTCCTCGCTCGCTGGAGGAAATGACAGTCATGGGGAAAATGGCACGAGAAGTGGACAGTCTTCAGCTTAACTTCTAGCCTGGATTGCTTGCAATGACAAAGAATTTGAAGGGAAATGGGAGTGTGATGGTCTGGAAGGAAACGAGCCCTTCTTAGAATGGAATGATGGGCAACCAAATTGATGGCAATGAACATTGTGATGACGGATATTAGGTCGTTTGAATAAAAACTAGCATTTCCTTTTACTACCTATTTTTAAGCATTTACTTATTTATTTTATTTTTATTTTATTTCTTTTAGGTAATGAAACCGAGAATTCCTCAAAAGTGCCCTAGGCACTGTAGCTCGAAAGCCTGAAGAAACTGTAGAGAGAAGACAATGAAAAGAATTTAAAGTTTTAGAGGTGGGAGGACAAGCCCAGAGGAATATTCTGAGGAAAACCCACGGGGATTGAAAACCCAATCCATATATTGACCCTGGTGGGATTCGAACCCGGGTCACAGCGGAGGAAGACGAGGAAAGTACCGCTACGCCAACCTGACTCCCCATTTGTATGAATAAAAATGAACCAAATGCTTTTACTGGAAAGCATTTGCTGAAAGCTAAAAGTATTTACTTTTTACTTGTTAGCTTTTGCTAGACTAGAAGTGTTTACTTCATTTCGTATGAATATGGAGGAGTAAATGCTTCAGATTTCAAGTATTTACTGGTCATTTTTCAAGGCTGGGTTGGGACAACCTTGAAAATATAAAGCAAATACTTCTGCGCAAAAACTGCTACATTTATTAATATTAATCGAGCCAAAATTAACACAAAACGTTATTACTACATATGATACCATACACTGTATTTTGAATAACAATTATGCGAAATAAATTCTTTTATTATTATTAATGTCATTACTAGAAGAAACGACAATTTCGCATTTTGTTCACGATATGAGAAGTGTTAGCGTTAGGGAAATCCCGTTGGGGATTATTAGGAAAATGTTATCCAACGGCACGCTGGGGACTGAACAAAAGGAAATCAGTTGTTTAGTTTATTAGGTCACCAATCTTTGCAAACTATTATTGTTTTAATATTTCAATAAACAAAACTCTGTGTGCATTGAACGTTGGTTTGATTTTACCCGCTTTAACACGCGTCGGTGATTGTTATGCCATTGTGACGTCTACAGGACACTGTGGACCTTTCATGAACGATGACAGTATACTTTCTGTATTCTGCAACTGGCGAAAAGTGTCATCCTTATTGTTGGATTTGAGAACCAAAAATACTAAACTGCAATATACATGTACTGTATGAATTGGACATCACCTTGGATGGGACTATTGCCCTACGCGTAAACCCTACGGTGTGTGTGTGGCAGTTCGAACACAATCATTCATTCTTTATTATACAGCTTTATGTTCATCCATGAAAACAATCCAACAGTAAGAAGCATTTGCTACCTGTTGCCCTGCTGAGCAGTAAAGGAAAACTTTTATTCAGACGAATTGGCTAGTTTTTATACATACGATCCAATGCCAGAAAACGTCAGACTCGGGTTTTTTCTGCATAGGCGTAGCCAGCGGGAGGGTACTAAAGACTCATTTTCCATTGAAATGGCTTTTTTTTTCACCATTGATTACCCCCCCCCCCTATATTTGGTAAGGAGTGCCCTTTTTTAAGCAGTGCTCTTTTTTTCTGTACAAGTGCCCTTTTTTATAATAAATTGCTGCCATTTTTTGTACCATCGGCCGTTCTCGTGGTATTTTTGTTAAATTTCACGCACGCATCGCCCTGAAAAGGCACATATATAGGGCAAGTTCGCGCAAGGACTATAGTTAACCATTGGTTGACTAACGCTTGCCCGAACTCTGTCTAGTCGACGATGGTTAACTACGCTAGTCGACTATTTGGAACCAACGCTTCGCTAGTAACCATAGCCGCGCGCGTTCATAACGTACAGCAGGGAGCCAGGATCCAGACGTTTTGCAATGACATTTTGACCAGCGTTCGACTAGAGACGTTCGCACTTTGCTATTAGTGCGCAGGCTTAAGGTACGTCACAAATCAACCACTAATCGACTAATGGTCCTTGCCCGAACTTGGCCATAGTCTGTTAGCGTGAATAACGGTCGGTTTTGAACAGCGCCCCCATCAACAGATGTCGTTCCTTCAACATCAAGAATTCGCTCGTACCCCCGCCCTGCAAACAGGACGCTGGGATACTCTGATGAATTCACGCTCTGATTGGTTGGATTTTGCGTGACCTGTGACCTGCGCGTCATCACGGTCATGACTCTGCAAGGTTTGAAACGGCCGTTAAAACTGATTCATTACTCTTTTATACCAGTTTAGAGTTTTTTGGGGGGTTGAAAAGCGTAATAATTCTGTAAAACTTATCTGTGTTGTAAATTTACAATTCCCGTCACTTGCGCAGGCCCCGTTTCGAATCACAAACGGTCGGATTGCATTATGCGACGCTCAAAATTGTGTCCACATGGTCCGCAATGAAACAGAAATCACATCCGGTATGGAACGTGTGCATTTTTATAGGAAGTTTTCGGATAGCATTTGCGCACATCGTCTAACTGCGGTCTTAAACAGCCGCAGCCAGATGCTTTATACATAGGTCATAGGCAACTTCCTTCACAAGATTCTGTGCCGCATCAGAGTATCCCAGCGTCCTATTTGCAGGGCGGGGGGTACGAGCGAACATCAAGAAAAACAAAGGAGGGAAGTATGGTGTACTATAAAGGACACCTATCTGTTGTCGTCGTGCGTGTGGGGAGCCCCGTCGTGCCTGTGAGCAGGTCCGCCGTGTTTGTGAAGAGGTCCGCCGTGTTCACGGTGAGCAGAGCGTCGTGCGTGTGAGTAAAACCGTCGTGCCTGTGAGCAGGTCCGTCGTGTTTGTGGAGAGGTCCGTCGTGTTTGTGAGCAGACCGTCGTGCGTGTGAGTAAAACCGTCGTGCCTGTGAGCAGGTCCGTCGTGTTTGTGGAGAGGTCCGTCGTGTTTGTGAGCAGACCGTCGTGCGTGTGAGTAAAACCGTCGTGCCTGTGAGCAGGTCCGTCGTGTTTGTGGAGAGGTCCGTCGTGTTTGTGAGCAGAGCGTCGTGCGTGTGGGGAGCTCCGTCGTGCCTGTGAGCAGGTCCGTCGTGCCTGTGAGCAGGTCCATCGTGCCTGTGAGCAGGTCCGTCGTGTTTGTGAGCAGACCGTCGTGCGTGTGGGGAGCTCCGTCGTGCCTGTGAGCAGGTCCGTCGTGTTTGTGAGCAGAGCGTCGTGCGTGTGGGGAGCTCCGTCGTGCCCGTGAGCAGGTCCGTCGTGTTTGTGGAGAGGTCCGTCGTGTTTGTGAGCAGAGCGTCGTGCGTGTGAGTAAAACCGTCGTGCCTGTGAGTAAAACCGTCGTGCCTGTGAGTAAAGTTTTACTCACAGGCACGACGGTTTTACTCACAAACACGACGGACCCTCCCACACGCACGACGGACCTGCTCACAGGCACGACGGAGCTCCCCACACGCACGACGATAACAGATAGGTGTCCTTTATAGTACACCATAGGGAAGAACATATAGGCCAGCTGAGAAACTTCACAAGCTCTGAAAACAAGGACAAGCTTCAAAACACTGATTCTACTGAATCTACTAAGATATGTGCCTTGGCTAGTTGTGACAATATGGGAGCAATCTTGGAGATATAGACTTTATAAAACTGAACCTGAACTAACCCAAGACAACTACAATTTGGTAGTACAACGACCAAACCTTTGTGGACACTAAAGAAACACCCAAACAATAACAAACATTAATGTTTCACAAACACAAATATAAATTAGGTCTTAGTCAGTTAACCAATAAAGATTTTCCCCAGCCTAAAAAAATAGACCAATAGGCCCAATGTAAAATTTACGGGAATGAACAAAAGAAAAACAAAAGGTTTGACTGACTTACAGTGAAGTAAAGATACGAAGCAGTTGTCTAGTACAATTAGTTAGTTTTTCTGTTTGTTCGCATTTCTTTATCGTACGTATTTTAATTCTCATTTAGCGAGATTGGTTGCCTCTTTACAAAATTCTCAGCAAAAATCTCCAGTCTAACCAGCTTTGCTAAATTGATTGCTGATTGTGCGTCACGAAAAAGAACGACGATATGCTAAATTGAAGGAATTCGAAAAAACGAAATTGAATGCCCGAATTATGAATTTGAAACACAGTCAAAACTTGAGAGGCAAATTCGAACGCACGAAATTAAATTGGCTGCTCAATAGCCGAAATTAACCAAGAAAACCTATATTAACAATTGTTAATTAATTTATTAATTCCTATTTTTTCCAGTACTGTCGTTTAGCGTTTTAACTTATATTGATCTTTCCCATCATTTTAAGCTCATTATATGGTCCAATGGTTACGGTGTTCGCCTCGTGTGCCGTGGTACATAACGACCACAAATTAGACCATAACGTGTTCACAATATTATTGTCTCCATAGTAACAAGCTTCCACTTGCGTGAAATTGTGAACACGTTATGGTCTAATCAATTACTTCGCCATGGCTGAACACTTGTTCTGATTTCTCAGTCGGCCGGCAGGCAATATGGACTGAATTGCTTGAGGCTAGACCACGCAAGCAATTAAAGAATTTTCTGAACAATGAAATTGTTGATTCACCGACCTTCATTAAGAATTGTCTCCATAGTAACAAGCTTATCCACTGGCGTGGAATTGGTTGTTTTCGTTCACTGCGGTCTCAAGTGATCACTTTGGCTATAAGTCTCCACTCCGTGTACGTACGCTTAGAATAAACACGGCAAGTAATTGAAACCTGTTGCCTACCAAACGAATCATGTATTCGCCAGAATTGGTTGTCATTTTGGCCATCATTTCTTCTATCTCAGCAGTGTTGGGATTTTATAACATCTGCCCAGTTCAGCCTGTCAGCTGCTCTTGCCCGTCACAGTGGCAAATGTGGCACAACGCGTGCTATCGCATCACTCCACCGCATAATTGGGATGATGCCAAGACAGTTTGCCAAGATTTGGGAGGCAAGATGGCCGCTCCTCGCTCGCTGGAAGAAATGAAGTTCATGGTGGACATGGCACGAGAGGTGGACAGTGAATACTACGTCTGGATTGCTTGCAATGACAAAGATGTTGAAGGGACTTGGGAGTGTGACGGCCAGGAAGGAAGAGAGCCCTTCCTGGAATGGAGTGCTAATCAACCAGATGATTTCAAAGACAATCAAGATTGTGTGGTAGTAGCCAGAAATCAGAATGACAAAATGGATGACGATTTTTGTGCTGAGAGTCGTATGGCATTGTGTGTTCATCAGGCGGCTTGTCCTCATCCCCCAACCCAACCCCATCGATACTGCCTCTCTACTGACACACGCGGCCGCATTCTCAACTCAACCTGCCTCCTCGACCACAACATCCGGGAGTTTATCACCGAGGGCGTGGCCGCCTGCGGCTCAGCCTGCGCTAAGGAGCCCGGATGTTTCTCCTTCAACATCAAGAACACCGAAGAAGGGAAGAAAATATGCCAGCTGAACAACAGCACAAGCTCCGAAGATAAGGACAAGTTTCAAAACACCGATTATTTCTGCATGTACTCAGAAGTATGCACCGGCTAGAATTAACAACAGGGGAACATTCTCGGTGATAATTATACATACCATTGTCTAGAAACTCGAACTTAAAATAAATGGGGAAAAGCACAAGGATATGCTTCTTACGAGGACAAACCATTGGGGAAGCACTTTTTTGTACAACAAGATTTCAGGACAACAAATTCGTTGTTTTCGAGGGAAAAGTGATTCAACCATGTTCTTTGACATAAGGTAAACACATAATTATTTCGTCCTCATTACGTGTGCAAAGGAAAAAACGAATACTGGGGAAAAAACACGAGTATTGCTTGACCTTTGACTCCCGAGAAATGTTGTCAACGAAAACCGATTTTTTTTTCTCTGTGTCTGTGTCATTTGGCTGTTCAAAACAATTTAAGTCTCATAAAATGTTGTAATAGCGTAATCTTAATATGGAAACATCACTATATACATAGTGAGTTTAGATGAATTTACTTTTTTCTTTTAGGCCTATGCGTTTAGTTTCTTTGGTACTACGACAAATTATTGATTGAAAACAGTTATGTGAAATCGTCTGTTTGTAAATTCGCATTTAAAGTATTCTAGGGTTCGTATATTTTGTGCTTTGAGGTTAAACAAGAGTTGTAACGAGTAGCATTAAATGGTGTATGATGTTTTCTGCAGCGAAGTGAGACTAAAATGGCTTTAAAAAATTAACATAACAGTTTTTGTAAATCCTTGTTAATTCCAATTTTTCGAAAATTAATGATACGTGATAATTGATGATTGTCAATCAGTAATTTGTAAATTATTATCGCTTGGTAAATTGTTGTTGATTTTCAGTTGATTTTGAAATTGCGTTCCCCGTGCTCTTAAAAAAACAATGCGAATTTTGTTTTATTATTGATTTTGGACTTGTATGTTTTATAAAATAAAAATCTCCGTTTTTGACGTTTACCCCAACTGAAAAAAAGTATTTTGTTTTTGGCACAAACAGATTCACTTTGCGAGCTGACTGGCTCCCGGTCCATACATTATCGATACTAAATATGCGGCGGGAACCAGCATACCTCAGAGAACGAAATTATTGTTTGAAGGCAGCCAATATTTCGAAACTGTGAAGTAATAATTCAATAAATAAACAAGGAAGGAATCTATTTTTGGGGGGATGAAACTCGAAAATAGCACGGGAACGCAACTTGAAATGATTTCAGCGGATGACTGCCGCATCGACAAATCTTTTATTCAAAATAAGAGTCACAATTAAGCAACATAATATAATTGCGACAAAATCTTGATATTTCCCACTTTTTTAAATTCGTTCACCCAAATAATACCGAGATGTAATAGCCTCTACCAGTTTGGATCAATTCCTAAAGACTTTATATTAAAAAAAAAAAAGGGTAAATTTGTTATTGATCGTCAAGAGTATTTGGGTCGCATCATTGATTTCAACTCAACGATGTATAGTTTTACTGAGGGAGCCCTTTATACTTCAACCGAATCAGTTCCTTTTATATACTGTATTTGAATTATGATTGCCCATATAAAAGCTTCAATTTTCCGAAATTTGAAGATCAGATTGTTTATATTGTTTGATAACTCAGAGTAAGAGCCACACTTTTGGAAAATCTCAAAATCGTGATATATGTTTAAATTGAATTTATTGGATTGTACATCTTTGGATCTTTACCCTGTTGCCTTATTGAAATCTATTTGCGAATAAAATAATGCGTGGTGTTTTAGATAAAGGACATAGCTTGTATGGCGTTACATTCGTTCTGTTCTAAATAATTGTAATTGTAATCTATAATTGAAACGGGAAAGGCTTTGGCAAGTGACATTTCTGGTGAATGTGATGGGACACATCATCACGCACGGATCGACAAAAGATAGCGGCCTATAAACCATTCGGAACTCAACAAAAAACGTTGCGATGACTTAGGATAGGTTGAGAGAAGGTTCTTCGGGCCTATCATGTGCATTTGACCTCTATTTCTAGTCCAAAATTGTTTCCAAAATTGGCCCTCGATATTCTTCAACAATCCGTCGATATTCTTGACAAACCGTGGTGTATTCGTAAAGAAACCTTAGGACAGTCGTGGCTATCCGTCCTGAAACCGTAGGTGCAGTCTAAAATTAGAAAGTCGATTTCTCCACGAATCTCGACGGTTCTTCGTGATCGATTGATCTTGGTCAAAAAAAATGAGTGGACTGTGTGACTGGTGCTTTAATAAGCAGGAGAACACATTGAGATGATGTCACTAGTTACTGACGGGTGATGGTATGAATCTCATGCATTGACAGTAGGTGGCGCTTCAGCATCACTAATGGTTGACTGCATGGAATCCTGACGTCATAATAATCTTTTGAATAATTTTAAGTAAAAATGGAAACATTAAAACAATAATAAAATTAATTAAATTCAAATCAACAAGTTTACAAACTGCATAAAATCAATAAACAGACAAAAACGGCCGATCGACTGACTGACCGACAATCCAAGCAATCTCACAACTAGCCAGACCAAACTGACGACCAACAAACAAACCGACCAAGTACACCGCAGCAAACAAAAAAACAAAATGATCCTAGAGCCCGAGAGTTTGTTGGAAGGAGGTCCTATACAGGGGTAGCAGTTGCTCTCCACCTCCAGCCAAGCAATACGGATTAATTGTCATTGTGTTTGCAATGAACCGTCCCGTTGTATATTGACAAACTTGACTTCCTCAATTTAATTACATGTATATTCAAAATGCATGCGAGAAGAAAGGCAATTTTTGTCATAATTTATACGTTAGGATACAATGTAGCGTGAAGAAGGACTGATTAAATGCAACGTAAAATAGCCTATCAATTAATTAGAGTTGCAAATAAAACACAAAAAGTTGTACTCTCTATTTATTCTATCTCTGCGTTAGTTTGCGTCATTTTTTACTGCAAGACATCGACAAATAATTTTAACCAAAATAGATTTTTTAAAAACATTTATGAATGGCAGAAACAATTCGTTATCACTTTTTTTTGAAAAAGGAATAGCTTTTTGACCCTGCTTATCAGCTGAGTAGATACAAAAATTTATCACAGATAAGTTAAATATTGTTATCAGTTTTTCCAGGAGTAAATTAAAGTCATTACTGAAAACGAAAACCTAAACAATCATTGCATTTTCAACGTATTAATGGTTATGTTCAAAAAAATGCGTAAATGGTTTCAACTTTTTTGATCATTTTTTGGATTATGGCTTGAAAGGTAGCTATCCAAAAAGTAACCGATCAAGGCCATTTCCAACGATGCGTCATTGGAAATTTCAGTTTAGTAGTTCGTTTGTAATTCGGCGAATCCATGAATGGGTGAGAGCACGTGAGCGTCAGTTCGGTGCGTGACATTCGCTGGTCCCCCCCCCCCCCCCCCGCAAACAGGGCGCTGGGAAGGGCTGATGAGCTTCACTGAATCTTGTGAAGGAAGTGGGGATGGCATTCTGGGTAATTTATGACCTATGTATAAAGCATCTGGCTGCAGCTGTTAAAGACCGCAGTTAGCCAATGCGCGCAAATGCTATCCGAAATCTTTCTCATAGAAATGCACACATTCCATACCGGATGTGTGATTTCTTTTTCATTGCGGCCAAATTTTGAGCGTCGCATAATATGCAATTTAACCCTTCGAGACGGACCTGAACAAGTGACAAGAATGGAAAATTTACAAAACAAATAAGTTTTACAGATTTTCCTACATTATTACGCTTTTTTGATGAAAAAAAAAATTGATGAATGGGAATAAACGAGTGATGACTTAGTCTTAACGGCCGTTTAAAACCTTGCAGAATCATGACCGTGATGACTTGCAGGTCACAGGTCACGCAAATATATCCAATCAGAGCGTAAATTCATCAGCGTCCTGTTTAAAGGGCGGGGGTACGAGCGAATGCGTGACATAGCGTCGCTGCAATGGGCTGAATGAAAATGTTTCCAGGATGCTTAATTCGGACGCAATTCAAAACATGAATCGGCAACGTTTGAATTGAGATTGAGAACCTAGAATATTGATTTCTATTTATATTCATCCTTCAGTATGCTAAAAGTTCATGAAGTTAATATTTAATTACACATCTTCTGTTGCTTCAAAGGAAAAAAAATCACAAATGAAATATGATTTATACTCTACCTTTTAAAGAAATAACAAAGAATGTTTATACAATTACATCCCTTCCGTATTCCAAATATTTGACAGATTTCAATTATGTTTTATTCAGTCAAGGTAAATCAAACGTTTCCGACCTCCGCTTCAAATTACAATCCAGAGAAACTGCACTAACTACTGTAAGGACACTAAAAGCCTATTCAGAGAGTTGTGGAAAAAGGGAGTGTGTTCACTTCTTTTGCCATTTTTCTTTCATAAAGCCATCGGTGTGCGGATCCAGAAACTTTTTGGCGGCTTCCTTCTTAAGGATATCACTGGCCTGGGTCCGCAGGTGTGGATTCTCACTCAGTATGACCTCCTGAATGACCTGAGCTACTTCCTCAGGCTGCTGAACTAAATTTTTGAGACGATCGGTCATTCCCTCCAAGCTTTTAAGGAAGGCATCTTTCAAAGGAGCTTCGAAATCTTTGGCCTGCTCCGCTGGAGGAAGAGACATGTTTTTAGCGATCATCTCTGTATTGGTGGGTCCCGGTTCAACGATGAGAACTCTAGTAAAACAAGACAATAAACCAGTCAGGGCCCATCAATATCGATTTATTTCCGATTGGTTGGATACATATTAAGCAATTATGTGGCTGTTTCAACCAACCCATTTGTTTTAGAGTGTACTCTTCAAGTACTGGTATTGCTCGCAGCCCGGGTGCACGGACTTTGCCGTAAGCCGTCTTCACGCGTTGCCCAGCAGCCGTGGATTGTACCACTTGGTACTTGTTTGTCAAAGCCTTTTGAAAATGAATTTAAGATTATATCCACACCCACCATGATTCCAAACACCAAAAAAATCATGCTTTGTCTACATTATGCCATTGAGGGAAAATACAGAAAGATTTTAAGGGAAATATATACATTCATACAATTGGTTAAAAGCATACAATGCCTGACATTGTATTTAGCAGATCAACACTTCAAAGTACCTGATGTTGTATACATCTTTCAAGACTGACGAGCTGGCTTCAGAGAATCCCTCCAAGGCGAACTTAGTGGCCGAGTACATGGCATGGAAAGGAACGGCTGTTCAAAGTGTTAAAAAATATATGTATTTTTCCTTAATTCAGGAAACATATGAACATTTTGTTTTAACGACGTCCGGATTTGTTTACATGTAGGGCATATGTTTACTAATCTTATGGAAACTTGGTGGTTCCCATGAGAAATAGCGTGACGTCATAACGTCTTAGGCTTATTCATCGATGTCATCGCTTAAAATATCTTGATTTGATACATTTTATTTCAATGCTGCCATAAAGGATGATTCGTATTACTGCGGGTATTATAGGAAAAGATGTTTGAAGTTAATGTAAGACAGGGGTTAAAACAACGATTCATATATTTAAACATACATATTTCTAAGTTAAGATGATACAGGTCAGTGATTTTTAACAATTTTAAATTTGCAAATAGAGGCCAAGAGTGTTCACAAAAGCCAGTTTAGAAATTACTCGACCTGCTCGTTTTTGCAGAGTAAGCAGTCAATAAGTCAATATTAATCAATCTAATATATATAGCCTTCTATGTATTTGTAAACAGGAAGACAAATACGAAAACTGGGGTTGCATATTGTACTGTAATTGTTTTGTATGTTTAATAATACAAACTGCCGAGAAGGGTCTTTATACATGTATATTGCTGAAGTTTTTGAACAGCGCCCCAAGTTTTGAATGATGTCCCTTTTCGGTTTTATTTTTCCGGCCGGTGATTGCTTTGCTCCCATGGGCCTTATCCACGAGGAAGCCATTTTGGTCATATTCCCTGAATGTATTTTATAAATTGTGAACTGTTGAATGTGAAGGCGCCAGACTTTTTATGCATTCTAGCCTCACTTTCAATTTTTTTTTAAATGTGGCTTAAAACATTAGGACATGTTTAATCACAAATTTTAAATTACTTATCAGAGCTTACTGGTATTTAATTTGTAATTAACTTTATGTATAGCTTTTATTTCTCTGCACAAGTTCCAGAAATGAGGATTTTGCCGGGCTTTCCATTTAACATGGCCGACTTAAGTCAATATAGAATCCTGGACATGCCCATAGTTGATGTTGTAAATAGAGTTTAAGACATACTAACCGTGAACCGCCGCCATACTGCTGACGTTGAGAATCCTACCAGACTTCTGCTTCTTCATCGCTGGTAACACAGCTCTCATAGTTCTTACTGGGCCCCAGAAGTTGGTATCCATCATGGCTAAACCGAACTCCATCGGCTTTTGGTCGACACCATCCAAACCCGTGTAGCCAGCATTGTTTACTATATAAACAAATAATGCGAACATGACAATCCCAAAACATCAAAATTCCTAAAGAAAACAATTTCAAACTAGAAATGTGTTTGTGGACAAACACTGAGCTGTTTCGACCGTTTTATTAATGACTGCCGTAAAGGAGTTTCATCCAGGACGAATGAACATGTACATGCGTATTCTATACAAAAAGTGTCTATGCTATGTAAAAAAAAAAAACCATTTTTTCATGACGTCATGATGACCGCACACATTTTTGAAATTTTCTGTATCTATCTACGACCTAACAAACCTTTTGCAAAAAAGAATTTCGAATTTACCACGTTCCATTGATGAAATATGAGTAAAAGGTCCAAAAATTGAATAATTCATATAAAACACATGATGACGTCATCGTCACGTCACTGCAATTTTTGTCTTTAACACTTCCTGGAATATCTGCATACCGACATTGAACCCAATCGGACGTCAGGTTCTCTGAGGTCGATCGGTCAAAAATTTGAAGAAAATATTAAAATTTGAAAAATTTATAAAAAATCAGATGATGACGTCATGATGACGTCACTTAAGATTTTGAATGCTTTTATCTATACCTACCTACCAACCAAGTTTCATAACGATCGGACATACCCTGATATGTAAATTAAAAAAATCACGTTTTTGATGACGTCATGATGATGTCACACATTTTACGAAATTTTGCAAAAATTCTGTTTGCAACAGAAGATAGGGCTTTTCCGCATTATGATTTGTTTTTGTCAATAATACGTCCCTGACTATGCATGAACATAAAATCTGTCAAAGTTAGCCGGAAATCGGCTAAAACGGTCACTGTGGACAGGATTTGACCTCAGCAACACGTGCGCTGCGCGCGGGCTGACTGACATACGATATGTACAACATACACGTCCTGTGCATGTTTTAAAGCAGAGTTATTGTCAACCTGAAGTTTTAAGCGTGCGCAGGGCATGTCCGAGTTTGCTTATTGCCTCGAAGCTTTGAAATATTTTAGACCTACCCTTAAATAAACAATTAAAGTAAAAACTAATATTAAAACTGCCATGGTTGATTTTTCAGGAATTTTCTAAGGAAAAAAAGTCTTTTCATTATAACTTTCGGTCTGATGACGTCATAAACCTTAAACTTCGCACACGTCTTAAGTGGATCAAGGTCATCATATACACCAATATTTAGGCGATTCCAACAAACTTCGCCACAGACATCTATTCAAAATACATTTTTTAAAATTTTCAACCTGTCGCTAGAGGGCGCTCGAAGATTGCATGACGTCATCGGTAGATGATTTGAAGAATACTATCAGCCAAGAGACTAACACCGTTGAAAGCAAATTCATATCTATTACCACTTTCAAATAATAAGCCACTTCCGGTTTTGGTCTTTTTCGACCGGAAGCAAGGGTCACGTGATTTCACGCACACTGAATGAAATCAAGACCTCAACCTACTCTACCAGTTGCCGGTAACAGAATGCTGCGGACGCGTACGGTTGATTTCTTATGCATTTTTGCAATATTAAAAAGTGTCATAATTTAATTGCCTATAAATAAACACAGGATGACGTCATCATGACGTCATCATTACACAATGTTGTTTGAATTAGGGTCTTTGCTTGGACAAAGAGTGGTGCAAATGAATTACTCGCAAAGAGTCGAAAATGCCCTTCGTATGTCGACATTTAAAAAAAAAATCTGTGTACAAAGTCTATGGGAAAAATTAAATATTCAAAAATCTATAATAAATTAGTCGATGACGTCATCATGACGTCATTGTTCTAGGATCATCCTTGCATAAGGGTCCTTCATTGGTATAAGTTTGATGAAATTCCGAAGTTGCAAAAGCACTGAAGTCGTGTAGAGAATAAACGTGTACAAATTGAATGGGCTTTTTGGATAAGAAGAATGCCTTTTTCGCAAAATTGCGAAAAAGCCAAAAATGAGAACAAAAAGAAAGGCTTTTCCGCTTTTTTGCGGAAAAGCAAAAAAAAACAGAACAAAAAGAAAGGCTTTTCCGCAACTTTGCGGAAAAGCCAAAAAAAAAATGAGAACAAAAACAAAGGCGTTTTCGCAAAATTGAGAAAAAGCCAAAAATGAGAACAAAAAGAAAGGCTTTTCCGCAACTATGCGGAAAAGCCAAAAAAAAAAACAGAACAAAAACAAAGGCTTTTCGCAAAATTGCGAAAAAGCCAAAAAAATGAGAACAAAAAGAAAGGCTATTCCGCAACTATGCGGAAAAGCCACAAAAAAAAGAAAAAAAAAATCTTAACGAAAACAAGAGTTGTTTCGGTGTGTCACCGAAACAGCTAACAAGAGCTGTTTCGGTGTGTACACCGACCGAAACAGCTAATGAATCAGGCCGCATCCGGAAGGTAGATACTAATATTTTTTTGCGGTTTTTCCCTCAATTAAATCAGCATCAAATCTCCATCAATTGCCAAACTAATACAATTTACGTTGGCAGCTCATTCTATTTCACCAAATAAGTACTAACCAAGAACGTCGATTCTCCCGTTTTCTCGTAAGATCTCATCTACAACCGATGTGATGGTAGCTTCCTTGGTGACGTCAAGTTCCCGGATGAAGAGGTTCTTGTTAAGCGTGTCGCCTGCTGCCTTCTCCAAGTTAGCCTTTGACTTCAGATTCCTCATTGTGGCGTACACCTGCAATAAGTAGCATGGGAAAAGTCAAATCAACGAAGGCGGGATTGTCAACAGTGGCGTATTAAACTGGGGTAAGATTTAAAAAGGGGGCCACTTAGAGGCCCCATTTTCTGTAGGGGCCATGACGGCAATGGTAAGCCTAGGTGTTAAGAATAAAAAACTCAATTTTGCATTTCCAAAATTTTGATCGGGGGAGCACAAGGGGGCTTCGAGCGGGGGGGGGGTGCCCCCCCTCCAGTTACATCACTGGTCGTTACGTCAGTACAGCGCCATACCGCCTTGCGGCCACGCTGTACAGGGTGAGTAAAAAAAAAAACGAAACCCAAATGGCAGGACAAATTTTTAAATAAAGTACCACTTTCAAAATCTAGGATATGAAAGCCCAGTCATTAAGCTTTCTTTTAGTACAAGAATCATTCAAATCACTCATTACATGTACTTTTCAAGTTACGGGATTTTGAACACAAGCACCGTGTTTAAAGTTCTGTTCACCGATCACAAAAAAAGTAAGTGTTCTTTCAGCAAAACGAAAACAATTCTCATAGGGATGCATGTGAATTGTTGTCGTACACTTACTATTTTTGTACAATTACGTGTTTGTGCACATTACGGATGAATTGGTCACGCTAACAACTTGCGCATCTTAATGAGGTCTTCACCTTCATTGCCTAATGTTGGACGTTACCTTAAACTGATGTTGTTTGTCCTTTGCCAGCATTACGGCCGTAGCCAGACCAATCCCGGACGAACAACCAGTAATAAGCACAGACTGTGGCGCCATCTTTGCTCGTGGATTGACAGGATCGTAAACTGAAATGTAGCACTGAGACGAAATGCGCCTCATGCAAAAATGTGGTGCTTTTATAGGCCGATTTTAAGTTGATCATTAATAAGAAAAAAGGTCGAAGAGAAAGAAAAACAAAGAGCAAAAGGTCGACCGTCCCGGGTAGCTTTGGGTTGACAATGACTTAGCAATTCACGGGGCAATGTTCAAATGAAGTCTGCCATTGTAGCCATTAATATAAACACTGGGTACAGAAAGGTCGACGGTTCACATGTCACATTTTGTTGACAGTGATAAACGCAACTCACGGTACAATGTTCAAAAAACCCCAACAATATGAAAAGTGTTTGGAAGCAAAAACGTTAAATTGTAACTGATTCCTAGTTAAAGCGGAATGCTTGCGTATATTGTAATACAAATGCATATACCCAACGCGAAACGGCTTACCGACTTCATGTGTAATACAGGAGACGTGGGGGTAAATCACACACCTAAAACATATTGGATTGACAATGTCTTGGAGTTTAGCAGGTTTCTTACCTCTAGTCCTCGATTATTCACCCTGGTCATTTTATCACTTGCTCGAACCTCAAAAGGACCGTCAGTTTCTTAGTGTAACTGCTGCTGATGCAAGGTTTTGGTCCATGTTTTTGTTCAATACTTTACTTTGAAATAATGTATAATATAGTACACGTGCCCTTGGTATAACATTTTGACCTTTTTCAGTACAGGTGAATGCCGACTGAATGATGCAGCACAGTGAAGTGATTCAGCAGTTTGTTACATTAATGATTAATTTATCAACGGAAGGTCAAAGCCCTTTCTTGTTACATCTTTAAACCGTGTTGGAGTGATGTTCGCAGGATTTATTTTAAAGATGGATTTTCATGCTATTTTCCTAGCAATATAAAAGTTATTCTTTTTTGAATGAGGCATTGAACAAAAATCCACCGACAATAAGTTAATGAGATATTTCACTCACAAAATTTGAATTATTGGCTGCCAGACAATAATTCGGCTCTCGCAGGGGGGGGAGTAATTAATATATATACAAAGGGTTGCAAACGCCCAAAATCTGAATGAAGTAGTTTCTTTTTCGTTAAAACAAAACATACAAATTGAAAATTCGTTATAGGAGAAAAGCATATTTTGAAGAATATGTGGTATCATCTTTAACAACGCCCACATTATTAGGGGCCGTTAGAAATGATTCACGTTTACCGGATACGTATGCGTCTCGAAGAACGTAACTGTTATATCACTACATTTTGTGGTTATTTCGCACAAATTGGTGAATTAACAAGCACCGTTTCCGTCCGGCATAGCTACGTATCTCGCACGCGTACCATTTCTAATGTCCCTAGAATCAGGCACGGCCTCACCTCAAGCGGAGATCATGTCATGGGGGCGTCTTACGTCTTCCTGTACAGATTCTCTCGATCCTCGTACCCACCCTGTTTTTGCCTGCAATTTTCGTTTAACTTTCATGAGATAGACTTTGTTAAATTAAGTGGGCCGGGGTCATCATTTCAGACTGTATAATCTTTGATTATGGGCCTTATTCATGAGTCGTGAAGTAAAATCTTCATTTTTGGAACTTATGTAGAGAAATGAAAGCAATGACGTTACAAATTAATACCAGTCTGCTCTGATGAATAATTTATCATGTGTGATTAAACATACTCTAATGTTTTAAGCCACATTTTAAAAAAAAATGAAAGTGATTTGATAGTCTGGCACCATCCCATTCAACAGTTCACAATTTATGAAATACATTCAGGGAACATGACAAAAATGGCCAACATGTGCATAAGACCCATGACTACCCACGGTGTTTTAGGTTTTTTTCTGGATACGGATAGACCATTGTTTCCATATTTCCCGTATAGGGTTGTAAAAGTTAACTCACTAGGACTGAGTTCATCTCTACTGTTGTAATGTAGTAAGAAACGCAGGGAGAAATTACGGCACAGGAACCCCGAATGGACTTCAACAAGTTTATTCTTGCTCTGACGCTTGTAGTTGCAGACCAGTAAATCGGTCCGAAATTGCCTACGCCGGCCAAATCACGATTTGCATGCCCTCAAAATCTTCAGTATTTGAGCATGCTGTGGGCCATGAACTTGAGGGTTTGTAAAAAATATGGGTGGAAGCCGTGCACAGGACTGTGAGCTTGTAGTTCCGTTCAATTTGGATGAAATTAAAGCGCTCTATTTTGCAATGGAGTGTAGGCATCGTTTTTCAAAATGGCGATTGGCTTCAGGACTATTTTCAGGGGTGATCATCTTCGGATGGAAATTTCTCCTACAAGTCATCAGTTGACCCCCCGAAAATTGAAAAGAAAATGAAAGATGATGGAGAGTTGTGAGTATTTTTCCCGAGTTTCTGAAGTGGGAGCATTTACCATTGGGGTCTATGGAAGTTCATTTACTGGTCTGCAACCTTGTTATGCAAAATATTTACAAAGTCTTAACCAACCAACCAACTGTTATTCCAAATAGCCAATGGGAAGACAGGAGTATGGCCATACATATTTTGTGTTACGTTTACTGAACACGAAATGTACTGTTTTAGTCCATTTCGAATTCATAATCAAATCTATGAATTCTCCGAGTCAAGAGGGTGGCGCTGTTCACGGTCACCCTTTATGACTTGCTAAGTGAACTTGCGGTAGCGCCCTCATTCCGAAAATATCCTCGGCAGCGTAGTTAGATTTATAGTCGTGTGCTATCCACTGATCTCCTCGGAGATTGTCTTCGCGTAGAGATAATGAGGTCATTCACTAGAAGATTTTGGACCTCTGTCTTCTCCCTCTCACCTCCTGTTCGTTGCATTTATTCGCAAAATCGAGTCATTGTGAATTTTAAAAAAGGGTAATAAGGCCAAAAAAAAAAGTCTCCGGTTTCTGGTATGGAGCTTGTCCAAAAAGTGGTGCGGTGCGGCGACGCGGCTTTTCTTTTTTTTTAACCGACTTTTTTGCTTCAAATTTGCTTCAAATGTCGGCTGATGACTGCAAATGGTGCCCGACTAAACTTAGTGCAAATATATGGGAGTCCAGAGAGGCCACATAAAGCTTATTCTCGATCATAGCCCCATCTAAAAACACGTTGAAATTGCGCAGCAGCAGAATTCCAGTCAAACCAGTGAGTTTGGCGGTTTTGAGACATCATCTTTCATTGAAAAAAAAACTTTTTCATTTTGCCGACGCGCATGGCTACGGCGACGCGCGCGCATACCAGAAACCGGAGACTTTTTTTTTTTGGCCTAAGGCAGAGGAGGCCAAAAGAAGGAGCAGGTTTGAATTTCATGTTAACTAAATAGAAGGAACTGCAACAAAACGGGAACATGCTGGCCTACATGTTTGTAGTCTGGTCCCTGATGGCTCTGCTCTATAATAGATTGTAGGTCAGCGCAGGTCCCCGAGAGCAGCAACGTAAACTTGTTGCACGCGTCCCCAATAGCAGCAAGTTGCGTTGCTGCATACGCCCTTCTGGTGTTAACCACTTTCATGTCTAATAAGTTGGATGGTTATATTCTGCACGTCAATACAGATTTAATTGTGATTGTGGTGTTTTTGTCTAAATAGGGTACGCACTGAGGAAATTTCTCATTGCGTCGGATCGTATTTTGTCGGCAAAACATAACAATTACGTTAACTGCCACAAAAGCCCGAACTATCTCGAACGTCAACGAAAATGTGTTTTGAAAACGTCGAGAAATGGGAGGAATCGTAGGAGTTCTGGTCGTGTGATATTGGGGCCGTTTTATCGAAAGTTCATAATCTTATTTTAATTTATTTTAATGTTCATATTATTTGTTGGACGTGTTCTTAATATTTTTTCCCTTCGTTCAAAAATGTGGTTGTTTCACAAATACATATATATGTCAATGTGTTTTTTTAATCAATCTTCTTTTCTATCGTCTATTTTTAAATGTTCATGGTATTTTATTTCTTTTATCTTTTTTATTGTTCCTGTGTTTTATATTAATGTTAAATTATAACATTTTTTTCTTTGTGTTAATAGATTTGGTCCTGTTACTCACGTAAATTTCGATTTCTATGTATTTTTTTAAATTCTTTTAATATTGTCATTTTATTATTTAAGAATTTTGGTTTTGTTTAATGTTTTTACTGGTTTCTTTCGATAACTTATTTTAATGTTATCGGGACCCTTAAGAATAATAGTTTAAATAACCAAAAAGGCTACACCCTGTTGAAATAAAACCGCTATAAATAAATAAGGATAGTCCGAGTATTTAGGTCTGGGAACACTCCAACATAATTGTGCCTTGTGTACGGATACAATGAACAGCGCCAACTACTTTCAGATTTGGTGTTGCCGTAAAAGTTATCTTTATTACTTAATACGTTTAGATAGGCCCATCCCCCTCCCAACAATAAACTCTGACCCGCTTTAATAAACTTTTTTTAGCGAGGGGAACAACGAAATTACAGACTTATTTTGTTCCATGGAAGAGATCAACAAGCTAGGGACGTTCGTTGCCATGAAATGACGCATTATACATGTACATCTTTTAAGCTTTTTATACTGAAGGTAAGCTCAATACACTGGTGTCCATTTTCACTTGACTGGGCCTATAGTGTGTTTAATGTACCTCATCCTAATCCCTAAGGAAGTCATTAACGCTGCTGCATCTTCTCCTTGAGTGCGGCAGAGCGGTGCGTGTGAGTACTCGAGACAAACATCCCCATACTATGGAACCCCAAGAGGCATTTAATGTGATCATCGAATCGGTGATGCACTTTCACGATCGGTGATGCACTTTTACGAACGTGATCACTTTGCAATGGTGAGAAATACCAGTAGTTATTATTATTAGTGGTATTATTTATTTGCCATCACAACAGAAAAATACAATACAAAACATGATGATTGGAACTTAAAAAGTGAACCTAATCACTATTGCCCACCGTGCATTCAGTTTCAGAACAGTAAAAAACACATCAAAAAACACACTAATTAAACAGCGATGGAGTCGACGATCAACTTTGCTATCGGTGCATGGTGGA